GCCCGACATCTTTTAATTGGAAAGTTAAAGGAGTCAAGCCGAAAATTGTCAGCCGACAGCGAGTGAATATAATTGGATCCAGCTGGCTATCAGAATACAATAGTCGGCACTGCAGATTTATCCATCCCAGCTATATAAGCTGGGATGGATGAATATAAGGTTGGAGGAATCTGTTAGATTTTTGCAGCTTAAAGTGGACCTTCACTTAAAAGTGAAAAAGTGAAAGTATCACTAATGTGCCTAATTTTTGGAAGTTTTTTTTGGGGGGGAGGTACCTTTTTCTGACAGATATCCCCTCCCACTTCTGCAATTTTTGCCTAGGCAGGTTGTCCCTCTGCCTATTCCCCCACACCTACAACCTCCTGGAACATGTTTCAGGAGGCTGCAGAACCAATCTGTGAGTGCATTGTGATCTTGCATATGTGCAGTGGGGAGCAGCTGTTTCAGCAGTCACAATTGGCTTCTCACAGTAAAGATGGTGGTTCTGGGGATCCAAAAGGCTGGTAAAGAACTGGCCTGGGTGAACACAGCACTGGATAATTGGGCTGTCTGTTTATTAAGAGTCAGCAGCAACAGTATGCACTGACCATTTTACAGCCAAGGGTACATTCTATATGGCATGGCAAGCAAAGCATTAAAAAAACTAGCTAAGACTTAACTTAAAATCAGATCTGTGATTTTGGTTAGGTAACAAGGGAGTGTAAATCACAGGTGACACCCAGAATTTAAGGTTTATTTAACATGTCTGGTGTTAATCTCTATGCTAAATATGTCATTGTGAATGAAACTTCGCACCAATAAGGCTACGTTCACACTAGCGTTGTGTGCAGGCGGCAGAGAGGCATTTGGGAAGCGTTTTTACCGCTTCCCAAACGCCTCTGCCAATTCTGCACATTACAGCACATGGTGCTGTTCTAACAGGAGCGTTTGCGTCGCTTTGCGTCGCGGCAAAACGGACGCCTCTGGTCGAGTCAGGAGGTGTTGAAGCCTCCTATTCTAGTCTATGGTGCCGCTCCGCAAACGCCCGGCCGGCATTTGCGGTGCGGTTGCGAAGCGGTTGCGGGGCGTTTGCGGAGTGGTAACACCATTCAAACTGCGTTATGGGCGTTTGTGGGGTGTGTTTTTTTAACGCTCGGCAAATGCCTAGCAACCGCCGCTAAAACCGCGCATGTGGCGTTTGCGGAGCGTCTGCGGAGAGTTTGCGGAGCGTTAAAAAACGCTCTGCAAACGCCGGACCAACGCTTGCCAAACGCTATAGGGGCGTTTGGAAGCGTTGGTAAAACAGCCAAGTGTGAACGAGCCCTAAAAGAGGTCAGATCCAATAAAGTGGAATGTCATCTAAAACTGTTTCACTTAGTTGTGGACATAGTGGCAAAGGAATAGCATCACCAATGGGTCAAAAGGGGGGAATCTTCCTAACAAGGCGACAAACAGCAGTAAAATTTGGCTACACTGTTCAAACCCAAAGGACAACTGTACATTTTCTACATGTCTTTTAATAAATTGCCACCACCCCCCCTCAGTGCTGACCACCTGGAGAAATACTTACCTTTTCTACATGTCTTTTAATAAATTGCCACCACCCCCCTCAGTGCTGACCACCTGGAGAAATACTTACCTTTTCTACATGTCTTTTAATAAATTGCCACCACCCCCCTCAGTGCTGACCACCTGGAGAAATACTTACCTTCTTACTGGAGCCAGCAATCTTTGTTATCTGTGCTGCACACTGCTCAGGCGTTATAGCAAAAGCATGCACCAAGTCATGGTGCATGCTTTGAGCTTTCTCCTGTGATCCAGAGTATGGCTTACCAATAGAAATAAGTGGGATTGTGGCACATGTGTGCACCAAGAATAGGATGCTGTTGCTGCAAAGACTGTGAGGTACTGGCAGAGCCGTACAGAAACAAAAAAATCACTAGATGGTAAGTGTTTGTCCAGGTGGGCAGCACTCAGTGGGAATGTGGGGAATATATTAATAGATAATTCTACCAAAGGTACAGTTGTCCTTTAAAGAGATAGTGTCACTTTGCCCTGAATAGGCAAAAGGATAGCATCTATGAAAAGGCCAATTACCAGGTCCAAGCATTTTCACACAAAGAAGGGGGGTGACGTCACCACTCCCTCTACGCTCCAACTAAGGCTTCTACTGGAGAGGTTAGTATCAGTGGGTAGTCAGGATGCCTTTTTACAGACTTCAAAGACTCATTCAGGGCAAAGTGGCAGTGTCTCTGAATACCACCCCTGGTCTGCATTTGTTGTGTCAGATGGTGTTGAAACTTACTTGGGTGGATGGCATCACCTTTACCCCTCCATCCCACACAAGAGTGCTCAGCCCTTGCAAACAGTCAATGCCTGAGCACTACCTCCTATCCAGAAGCCCCATTCTACTATGACAGAGTAGGAAAGCAGTGAGGAAACAGGGTCCGATGAGTATGTCTGAGCCTTCTTTAACCTTTTCAACACAGGGGAACCCTTGAAGTAACTTTTCTGTCTCAGTTAACCCCTGCTAAAAATTACTGTATTTACAACTCATGATACATTAGTATGGTGGTCAGTGGGAAGAATGCTCCTTACATGTGTGGTCATTAGGAAGAATTACCCCCTTAGAGATAGCTAAAAAGATCAATGGTGTCAGTGGGAACTTATCTGAGGGGCAGAAATTGATCATTGCTCAGGGAACCTCTAGCAACCTCTGGAGGAATCCGTGAGTTCTATGGACCCCTGCATGAGAAACCTTAGTATATCTTGTTTGAGGGGTAGGCTATCAGTAGACACTGTCCCTTTGCACTGAAAGGGAAAATTGACAGTTGTAGACACATTTTTTGTTTTTTACAAGGTGGTAAAAGTCTCTGTAAGGTCCTTGTTTGTTGTCTGTAATACAAGTAGGGACATTTCCCCACACTTCCTTTCCCAACATGGAAATATCTCCAGTGGGGACACAGGCTGCAAGAAAACACTTTAGTAAAATATGGAAAGGTAAAAATCTCTATCGCGTTATTATTACTGCATTTTGCTGCAGTGTGACAATAACTCCTTTTTTTTCTTGTCCTGTTGTCACAGGGTTAGTTAGTCATACCAACCCAGAATCCAATTTGTGTGCTTCTTAACCCAGAAAAACTTCATCAAAGCAAAAGAACACACCATAGGGCCAATGGAAAATCCCAAAAGTACACTGGAACGTGAGAGCACCAGTAGAAATAACATCAAATGGCACCAAAAACAAGCTAAGATAAACTAAACACAAAACATACTTCCTAATACTAAACAAAATAAATGACAAATAAAATAATAATCTTGAAACTAAACCTAGAATACAATATATTAGGGCATGAATCAGGGATAACAAAGAATACAAAAACATATTCTTGAACAAAATCCCCAAGTTATTACAATTGTATAATATATTTAATAATGTAATGTAAATATATTTAATAACTATTAATATTAAAAATAAATGTGTTGAGTCATTAAACCATTAAGGTATATTTGCATTCAGTTTGTAAATTCTCTGACTCTCCTGTTTTGCAGCAAGATTTGATCCAAATTATCACTTCTTGGACTAGAATTAATTCTGACCAGAACAGTAAAATTAATTTGAGGTGTTCTATTGTTGTGTTTGTATAGAAAATGTTTGGAAATGCAAGGACGCAAATTGCCTGAAGCAATGTAAGGGATGTGATCGCTCATTGTTACTTATGGTCTTTTTAGTTTTTCTTACATAATAGCTTCTGCGCTTACAGTTCATTGACTGTAACATATAAATGTGCATGGAGACTGCTTCTGTATTCAGCCCCAAGCACAGACCTGCAAAGAAAAAGGAAACCATCAGTTGGTTACGTGGGTGGCAGGGGCTTAAGAGAGTACCAAATGAATCCCACAGATATACATAAAATATATATTCTTTATTCATAAAGTGCTAAAATATTATATTGCATCTCTAAAAACATATTTATAACAGTGGTTTGCAAAACTCTTATCATTGGTTGTATTTGCCCCCAACCCAGGGGGTAATATTGAAGCTGTTAACAAACCCAGAATCATTTAAACCTGAAGCCCAACATGTTTCGAGACTTGATCTTCCTTAGGGGATATTTCTTGGACCTTTTAGAAGTACAAACAAAATAAGCAAAGTGATATCAAGATTCCACACTTGCCCAAAGGCAACGTAAAAGTTACATACTGCATTACATTGCTTACATTACACCAAAATCATATAATCCCCAGTAGCCTGTATAAAAGAGGCTAAAATCACATGGTATGTGCACGGGAGCGACCCAGTTCAGTAAACAGGCAAACAAGAAAGCATGGCAGCCACAGGGATCCCGTAGGAGCATTGCGTGGATGCAGAAAAACAAAAAATGCTTAAAAAAAAATATAAAAAAGAGAAACAACCATTGAAAGGTAAAAAAATGCCAAAGCAAAAAAAATCGTTCGATTAAGAACACTAATGGTATTGCAATTATCAAAATGTAAAGAAGGTATTTATCGACCGATTTTTACAGTAAGTGATAAGAAAATATATTTTTTTTCCTAAAATGAGAAATAATTTATACTTACTGTACCTGCTCTGTGTAATGATATGACAATGATAATGAGTGGTCTATTACCTCCTCTTTGGCAATTCCCCGCCAATATTATCTGGTCCTTCCTGCTCTGGGTGCTTCCTTTGCAAGCTGGGACGGGGGGGAGGGGGGGGGGATTAGAACAGGTAATGGGTAATTTTTTACCTTCATGCAGACAATGCATTAAGGTAAAAAAAAATATTTTGAGTTTAGAACTACTTTAAACCCTTCATAAATTGGCATATAATGCAAAATTTCTTACCCTTATCGAAATGACTACATACCATATGATCAGGGGCGGACTGACAACTCATGGGGCCCCCGGGCATTAGGGGATCATGGGGCCCTGTGTCCTTGCCCAAACTCAAAAAACCCTACTGACCCTGGGCCCTCGGTCAGTGCCCGAGTTTCCAAATGGTCAGTCCGCCCCTGCATATGATCATTTAAAGAAGGCACTTTCCTAAAGGTTATTTGAAGTAGGGGAGTTATAAAATGTGTAAAACTACACGTATGACCAAAAAAAATTCCAATAACAGATCTGCCTGATATTTTCATGCTGGCGTGAACATTTGTTAATAAATCTTAGGGCTCATGTACACGGGGCATTTGGAAAACTCTTCTGAACGATGGAAACTGACTGCTAGAAAACGTAGGTTAATAAACGTCAGTTTAGCCACGTTTGCATATAGCATTTATGCACGTTAGCGTTTAGAAGCGTTTTATAAGATAACCTCAGGAGACCTTCCCAAATGCACAGAATGCACTGAAAAATAGTAAATGATTAACTATTTCAGACATTTTGAGAGGAATAGAGAGAGCAGAAGCAGAGAGAGCAGTATGTGTTGAGATGACCTGTCTTTTCTGGTTGTATTCACTATGGATCCCATCATGAGCATAATGCAGCTCTGGTGTACTAGGTCCATTTGAATACATGGAAATTTTTTTTATGAAGAAAAAAGGCCCTGGACAGCATCTAGATATGGACCTGTCAAAAAACGTGTCTAAACGCAAATGCTTGTAAACGCAGTGTAACGCGTTTACAAGAGTTTGGCGTTTGAAACACTGGTAAAATCTACTCCTGAACACAATTTTGGTGCATTCAAGAAAGCAACTGCAAACTCAACTGCCTGTAAACTACTGTAAACGACTATGTGTACATAGACACATAGGAAAACATAAAGGAGAGTGCAGGGACTGCTGAAAAAAAAAACACTCAACAGCTCCTAAACGTGAGTTTTGCAGCTGCAGTGTACATGAGCCCTTAGAGTTCCCTCCTGATTGTCCCTTTTCCTATGTCCTAAAGACCTATTCTGTATAACTAACTGATAAGCTTTCTGTAGAAATTAGTTTTTATATTCACTTTCTTTAAGTGTCTCAATCAATGCATCTGCATCCTTTGAAAGCTGCAATCTAATGCATAACAATGTGAAATTCTAAGATATTGACCATATGGGGTGTTGCAAATCAGACATTTGGGATGACCACAAATTTCATGGGAATAGTATTTTCTGCTGTCACCATTTTCAAATACACATGATTTTAAGCCCAGAAAAAATAATTATTAATTTACTATTAATATTTTATTTTTTTATTATTTTTTATTTTATTATTGATGTTTTTATAAATTATTGTTTATTTTGTTTCCAAAACAAAAATTTCAGAAACAAACAGTGGGGAGCGAAGGTTACATAACACTAACGTGGTATAGTTGCAAAATCATCCAGGTCAAAAGTATTTAACTGTTGGTCTTGGCGATATCAATGATGGAATCAATTTGTTATATTGTTTTTATCACCACATAGTGTTTTTTGCTGTGTCGTCTATGGATGCACACAGCTCAGCTCAGAAGTGAGTCTGCATGTATGCCCCCATAGCAAGTGGCTTACTATGGGGCACACACAGGAGAGGAGGAGCAAAGAGCACCAGCAGGGCACCCCAAAGAAGGAAAGTGGCTGCTCTGTGATATAAACTTCCTTATTATTTTAATTAAAAAAGTGATTTTACAATCACTTATTATCCATCATTCTTCTTTTTATAAATAGAATGATAAAATTTTCATTCACACAGGCACGTAAACCAGTGCATCCATGCAGAGAAATGTGTTTATGCACCCAGGGATTGACAGGTGTTCCATGAAACCAGCCTGTCAAAATCGATGTTGCAGACAGCAATCTCCTGCGCTCAAGAAAAGTGTACTGGCACATGTATTGATAACTTCAGATAATCCAATCATGACACCGGCTTTTCTGCCCTCCAACAGGTCGGGGGAACCTAGGAAAATAACTGCAAAAAACAAGGAACAGAGAGCACACCAGCCTAGCACATTACAGCAAGAATTTTATTACTGTCAAAAAGCAGATATATACTCACAAGCAACATCAAAATACATGCACATCAATCCACAGTGTTCTTGAAGCAACCTGGTCCCATAGACAAGTCCCAAGTGTGAAAACACTATCCAAAAGGTTGACGCTCTGAAGAAGAGGGGATCCCCCCTCAAAACGCGTCGGCCTTTTTAATAGTCTTTTCTCGCTTGGGACTTGTCTATGGGACCAGGTTGCTTCAAGAACACTGTGGGTTGATGTGCATTTATTTTGATGTTGCTTGTGAGTAAACATCTACTTTTTTACATTCAGGAGGAACGTGGGGGAACGCAGTTCCGGTACCTTCAGCACTGAAAGTATGTAATGGCAAGGGGTGTTGGGTTGTGCTGGAAGTTCTATTGATGCTGGCCGCTGAAGCATCTATTGTCACTGGTGGGGAGCTATTTTTATATGGCAGCCTCTTGTTGCTGGTGGGGGATCTATTGCTGCTAGGGGTCAATTGTTGTTGGAAGCAATCTACTGTTGAGGGAGGGGTCTATTGTTACTGGCTGCTTGGAGATATGTTGTTACTGCTGGGGTCTATTGTTGCTGGGGTGGTATTTTGTTGCAGGTGTCCATTGTTGCTGGGGGGTCTATTGTTGGTGCAGGTGATCTGTTTTACTGCTTTTCTTGTTATCGTTAACATATTCCATGCAAATTACTTAGCACCACAAAATTATATTTGGCTCTGTACTCTCTAAGAGGAGCGGTACTGGAAGGTGGGTAAGGGGTGGAATCAAAGGACAGTGCTCTGAGATGGGGGGGAGGAGTGCAGACAAGAAGTGACTCAAAAGGGGGGAGATCCTATACCTATTCTTCGAGAAAAAAAGCCCTGTTTACATAAAATAAAATTATTAATCCGGTAATGCGCCAAGGTAATGAGGAAAGATTAGAGGAACTGAATTTATTCTCTCTTGAGAAGAGGAGATTAAGGGGGGATATGATCAACATGTATAAATACATCAGTGGTTCATATAGTGAACTCGGTGTAGAGCTATTCACCACGAGGTCATCACAGAGGACAAGGGGGCACTCTTTACGTCTGGAGGAAAAGATATGTAATCTCCAAACACGGAAAGGTTTCTTTTCAGTAAGAGCTGTGAAAATGTGGAATAGACTCCCTCAAGAGTTGGTTCTGGCCAACTCAGTGAATTGCTTTAAAAAAGGCCCGGATTGTTTCTTAGATACACAGAATATAACTGGATACTAACATTTATAGGTAAAGTTGATCCAGGGAATATCCGGTTTGCCTTCCTCTTAATCAATTGTGGGTGTAGGATTATAACTTTTTTTTTTTAATGGTTGAACTGGAGGGACTTTTGTCTTTTTTCAGCCAGGCTAACTATGCAACCATGTAATGCACTAGGTTGTTGCACCCTCTGTTCCTTGCTTTTTGCTGCCAAAATCAATGACAGGGTGAAAGACTTCCTGCACATGCCAGTGTTCGGCACATCGGCACAGGGATGGGTGCAAAACAATGGACACAGCATGTAGGCAGGTGCAGTTAGCCTTCCCACCTGTAGGTGGCTTCATGCCATTATTTCATGGAAAAGAGAGTTAATTGGTCCCTTAGAATTTCTGTACAGTGCCTTGAGAGAGGAAAGTAGTCTAATTAGACACCAAACTCTCGAGAGACTTTGGCGGCCAACATGGGTAAGGGAACATTGTAAATAAGGGACCCCTCACCAATTTGGTGCATTTCTAGCGGGTGTGTGGTAGGAAACAGAACCTGCTTTTGAGGGACAGTGCTTAGCACAAGGCCAGGTTCCAGGCAAGGAGGGATAGCTCAGGGAAGGCTCCTTCTTCTACTTATTCAAAGAAGGGACACTGCCCCTGGTAATGGAAGACGTCCTCTGGAAACATATACTGTAAACATTGAGATTGGATATTATCTGGATTGCTTTTATTGCCACTGAAGAACAGTTTATCTGTTGCTGCAATCAAACTGTTCAAGATTTATTAAAAAAATAAAAAAGACATTAGTATGCTTCCCAGTACAAGGTACATAACTTTTTCCCCTCCTACATGGATCCAGAGCTTTGTGTCCATCCCTGTGCATATGTACACAGTGGGATGTACAAGAAGATCGATATAGCAGCTGCAGTCTCAGCCTGTCTTTGATTTTCACAGGTTGGCAGCACAAGATTGCCCGGAACGCCTGACACTGCCCAGGTGTATAGACGGCCCTCTGGATGTATGTATCTGTGCACCCATATGAATGAACACAAAAAAGCTCACACCATAAATTCACAGGATCTTAATGCCTATGTCCTAATATCTTGTTTTGTTAAATGTGATCCTTTTCCAGAGAAGTTAATTTTACCATACTATAGTTGTAAAAAAATCAGTTGGGGTGCTGTCCATCCGGTTTCTCTGCATCAGTGATGGTGATGCTCCATCGAGGGGCAGATCTATGATCCCCTGCACCAATAGGATATCCTCATTCCTCCAGACTAAAAGATGATGGGTGTCAATAAACTCGAAAGACTAAGGACATCTAGTGGCAGATAGGACTTCCTGTGGGGAACATTTCCAGAGATGAAGAGAGTATTGCAGCCAGAACTGCTTTTTTACTACCTCCTGGGGGAATTTTAAAAACATTTAGCCAGGACTTAAAGCGGAGTAAAAAATAAAAGTCAGCAGCTACAAAAACTGCTGACTTTTAAAATACAGCCACTTACCTGTCCCTTGGTCCAGCGGTGTCTTCACTACCGCTGGTTTCACCGGCCGTCTTCTCTCCCTGGTGCTGGCATCTTCAGTGTGGGCACCCGGCTGTGACAACTTGCAGATTCACAGCTGGGTGCCCACTGCGCATGCGTGAGAAGTGCTGCACTTTGTGAATGGCCCCATAGTCTCCTGGGACCTGTCACGCGTCCCAGAAGACTATGGGGCAGGGAGGGGGCAGGACAACTTCCGCTACCAATTGCCTAGGCGATCACAGCGGAAGTAGGAGCGGGTACCTGTCAAATTCAGGTACCCGCACCCCAAGGGTGCCAACCCTTAATGGGGAGTGGGGGACAAAGGCTTAAAGCGGAACTTCCCCTTTTGGTTGGAGCTCCGCATTAAATTGTATGTCATTTTTAAAATAAGTGCAATTGTGTCTGGGTTATTGATATATATATATATTATACAGTATTTGAACACCCTGCGATTTTGCAAGTTCTCCCACTTAGAAATCATGGAGGGGTCTGAAATTCACATTGTAGGTGCATTCCCACTCTGAGAGACAGAATTTAAAAAAAAATTCAGGAAATCACGTTGTATGATTTTTAAAGAATTTATTTGTCTTGCACTGCTGAACATAAGTATTTGAACACCTAAGAAACAGCAAGAATTCTGGCTCTCAAAGACCTGTTACTGTGCCTTTAAAAAGTCCACCTCTACTCCACTCATTAATCTAACTTAGTAGCACCTGTCTGAGCTCTTTAAAGACACCTGTCCACCCCACAGTCAGTCAGATGCCAACTACTACCATGGGCAAGACTAAAGAGCTGTCAAAAGACACCAGAGACAAAATTGTGGACCTCCACAAGGCTGGAAAGGGCTACGGGGCAATTGCCAAGTAGCTTGGTGAAAATAAATCAACTGTTGGAGCAATTGTTAGAAAATGGAAGAGGCTAAAGACGACTGTCAGTCTCCCTCGGACTGGGGCTCCATGCAAGATCTCACCTCGTGGGTATCACTGGTGATAAGAAAGGTGAGGAATCAGCCCAGAACTACAAGGAAGGAGCTGGTCAATGACATGAAGAGAGCTGGAACCACAGTTTCAAAGGTCACTGTCGGTAGAACACTACGCCACCATGGTTTCAAATCATGCATTGCATGGAAGGTTCCCCTGCTCAAGTCATCACATGTCCAGGCCCATCTGAAGTTTGCCAATGACCATCTGGATGATCCAGAGGAGGCATGGGAGAAAGTCATGTGGTCAGATGAGACCAAAGTAGAACTTTTTGGTCTTAACTTCACTTGTCATGTTTGGAGGAAAAAGAAGGATGAGTTGCATCCCAAGAACACCATCCCTACTGTGAAGAATGGGGGTGGTAACATCATGCTTTGGGGGTGCTTTTCTGCGAACGGGACAGGACGACTGCACTGTATTAAGGAGAGGATGAATTTGGCCATTTATTGTGAGATTTTGAGCAACAACCTCATTCCCTAAGTCAGAGCATTGAAGATGGGTCGTGGCTGGGTCTTCCAACATGACAACGACCCGAAGCACACAGCCAGGATAACCAAGGAGTGGCTCCATAAGAAGCATATCAAGGTTCTGGAGTGGCCTAGCTAGTCTCCAGACCTAAATCCAATAGAACATCTTTGGAGGGAGCTGAAACTCCATGTTGCTCAGTGACAGCCCCGAAACCTGACAGATCTAGAGGAGATCTGTGTGGAGGAGTGGGCCAAAATCCCTGTTGCAATGTGTGCAAACCTGGTCAGGAACTACAGGAAACGTTTGACCTCTGTAATTGCAAACAAAGGCTTCTGTACCAAATATTAACACTGATTTTCTCTGGTGTTCAAAAATGTTCAGCAGTGCAAGACAAATAAATTCTTTAAAAATCATACAATGGGATTTCCTGAATTTTTTTTTTAATTCTGTTTCTCAGAGTAGGGATGCACCTACAATGTGAATTTCAGACCCCTCCATGATTTCTAAGTGGGAGAACTTGCAAAATCGCAGGTTGTTCAAATACTTCTGTTCCTCACTGTATATACATAATTTCATAAAAAGCCCTCACTGACCTTTGTAGCTGCAGACACTGTGGAGCAATTTGTCCCCAAAATTCACAACACAAGCACTGAAGCTGTTCTCTCAGCAGTTCAGCTCACTATGCTTCTGAAGGTGATTTGGTGCCCTTTCAGCCTTCTAATCTGTAAGATAAAACAAAGCAGGTGCTCTGCAAGGGGAAACAGAATGGGTTGATCTGCTAAAAAAAAAAAAAAAAAACTGACATAATGGCTTGAATGCTTCTGTTTAAAGAGGACCTGAACTGTGGAAGCTGTGCCCAAAAAAATCTATACAGTGGACAAAGCAGTGAATTAGTCACCAGCAGTCATGTGGTCTACCTGCAGCTGATCTTAGGAGTGATGACGGACTTTGCCTCTCCGTGGCCCAGCTTACCCACTGATGACTAGTGGTCTGATGGAGCAATAATCAAACAGCAGTGGGATAGGTTCAGAAAAAGCTAAAAAAGCTTTGGCCATACTTCACTTCTGGGTCCCAGAAGTGCATTTATTTCTGCACTCCTGCAACCCAGTTTCAGCCGACAGCAGGCTAAAAACCCGCTATCGGCTGATGTCACAGAGCCAGTCCAGGCTCTGGAGGGATCTCAACTTTAAAGGAGAAGTATAGCCAGAACTAATTGCACACATGTGACACATTTTCAGCCTACAGCAGGCTGAAGCTCGCTGACATCATAGAGCAGGTCCAGGCTCTGAAAAGATCCCAACCAAATGGTCGGGATGCACCCAGAAATCTGGACTGGCACTTGGCTCGGCCTCTAAGTGAGCTGCTGACAGCCCAAGTCAGCAATTACCCTGCACAGCTCAGCTATCCAGTGAGTGCTGGAGGGGCAGAGCAGAGAGCCGGAGACTGACAGTTCCCGGCTCTCTGCTAACAGAATGCTGAGAACTGATCGATCAATGGTCTTTGACTACTCAGTTCTCAGTGCAGAGCTGGCGAGGGACAAATACAGCTTTGGATCGATGCTGCATCCACCTAGGTGAGTTTAATGTTTTTTTCTAATTTCTAAACTTTAATTTTAAGGTCGGGATCAACTCAGATGCCTTACCAGCATGTCTCTGAGAGCCTGAGCCACCCCTGCTGCTCCTTCCACAGCCCAGCGCTCCAGTGAGCTCTGGAGGGGCAGAGCACAGAGCCGGAGACTGAGAGTCACAGCTCTCTTCTAAGTGAAGATCAGGAACTGAGCGATCAGCAATCATGTGATCACTCAGTCCTTGGGCTTAGAGTCAGCGGGGGACAGCTGCAGCATCACAATGATGCTGCAGTAACAGAGGTAAGTATAGATGTTTATTTTTTAAAGGACAAGTTTCATTTTCCTCATTGGAGCCAAAATTTTAGGGTTATATAGTTAATACAGGTAAACAGCGTTTTGCTTTTTATTTTTATTACTGCTTTTTTAATGTAGCCTGGAGATCTGTCTTCTGTTTATCTTAAGTGCTTTTAATACTGTGTCCTAGGTGGTGTTTAAAATGTGCTGTTTGCTTTTTTAAGTCAGTGCACCTAGGGTTACTGGCCAAATGAACACTGTGTATTGTTCAGAAATATGCAATCTTGCATCGCATAATTTGGAAACAGTCCTGCTGTGGCAGGAGAAACTTTGCGGATTACTCAGTGGGACACGTAGCAGTATTGAGATTGAGGTCTGTGTATTATTTGCGTTTTTGTGTTTAGTCTTTAATTAAATCCTGAATGGAGGGATCACTGTTCTGGTAATACACTTAATCCAGTATAGAGCAGAACAAAAAGGGATGTGGGATCTAAAATAAAAAGAATATATATGCAATTTAAAATATATCTAGTATACAGGGGCGGACTGACCATTTGGAAACTCGGGCACTGTCCGAGGGCCCGGGGTCAGTAGAGGGCCCCATGAGATGCCCCTGGTACCTTTTTCATAGTGTTTTTTGAGTTTGGGCAAAGACACAGGGGCCCCATGATCCCCTATTGACCGGGGGCCCCATGAGTTGTCAGTCCGCCCCTGCTAGTATACAAATTGCTTCATCATATATGTGTATTTTTTAATAAAAATCTCTAAATACAAAAATGCTTGTAGTGCTACCCCCAAAGGGGCCACTTGATGATCCTTGTCCCCAGTTGTTGCCCTGACCTTCCATGACTCCCCACACCGCTGACACTCTGGGTTCAGGCACAACAGTATTAAATAATAATGCAAGAGACACGATTCTTTAGTAACAGCTTGTTCAAAAGAGTAGGCCACAGAATGAAGGTTTAGGAGGTACATCCCCAGTTAATGCATAAAAGCAAAACATTGATAAAATGGAAATAACCGAATAGCAACAGTTAACAGAGTATACGGTCACAAATGGTACATTGTAACTATGTAACTGCAACACCAGCAACAGGAAGGGGAAGAAAAGACTTGTTGACTCATCAGCTCCCTCTGGGCCACTGGCGTCACATTATGGAATGCAAACAAATATGTAAAAATATATACACTATATTGCCAAAAGTATTGGGACGCCTGCCTTTACACACACATGGACTTTAATGACATCCCAGTCTTAGTCCATAGGGTTCAATATTGAGTTGGCCCACCCTTTGCAGCTATAACAGCTTCAACTCTTCTGGGAAGGCTGTCCACAAGGTTTAGGAGGGTGTCTATGGGAAGGTTTGACCGGTCTTCCAGATGCGCATTTGTGAGGTCAGACACTGATGTCGGAGGAGAAGGACTGGCTCGCAGTCTCCGCACCTATTCATCCCAAAGGTGTTCTATCAGGTTGAGGTCAGGACTCTGTGCAGGCCAGTCAAGTTCCTCCACCCCAAACTTGCTCATTCATGTCTTCATGGACCTTGCTTTGTGTACTGGTGTACAGTCATGTTGGAACAGGAAGGGGCCATTCTCAAACTGTTCCCACAAAGTTGGGAGCATGAAATTGTCCAAAATGTCTTGGTATGCTGACGCCTTAAGAGTGAAACTAAGAGGCCAAGCCCAACCCCTGAAAAACAACCTCACATCATACTACCCCCCTCCACCAAACCTTACACTTGGCACAATGCAGTCAGGCAAGTACCGTTCTCCTGGCAACCACCAAACCCAGACATGTCCATCAGATTCCCAGATAGAGAAGCATGATTTTTCACTCCAGAGAACACATCTCCATTGTTCTAGAGTCTAGTGGCAGCTTGCTTTACACCACTGCATCCGACATTTTGCATTTCACTTGGTGATGTAAAGCTTGGATGCAGCTGCTCGGCCATCAAAATCCATTCC